AAAGAATGTGCGAAGTTCCGAATTTACATCGGTAGCAAAGCTTTTGAACGATGGCGAGAACTCCGGCGGCAGAAGGGCTTCCAGTCCGACATTCAGGTCGCTCTGTTTTTGCTGGACAGGTGGGTAACGTTAAATTGTTTTTTTTCTTCTAAATTGACGCTTATGTTCGCCAAACCCACACAAGGATATAATTAGCTAGAACTATGCACGTTCACAATTATTTCAGGAAGCACGGAAGGGAGGGGGAGGAGATGAGATGCGGAGGAGGGAGGGTCTAGCTAGCCTCCGATTTGTTTGAAAATATTCCGAACGTCAACACCCAGGATCGCTTAGAGAACCTTTAATACCAAATATAAAATACCATATAAAATTGTTTGGATGTTTGTTTTGTATCATATGATACACCAGACTTGTATGACTCATATATAATTATATATGCTATCACCTACTTATACTTGAGGAAGAAAAAAATCCATTACCCAAATTACCCAAACTGGGGGGAAATATTGTAATTTGATACTAAAATAAAATACCTACATCTCACCACATCATATACTAGTTGTCCCTCAGTTTCTCCCAGTAATTATATATTTAAATGCTTATTTCTATGAGTACTTCTGTAGTTTAAAGGGTTAGTTCGGTGTTTTACACTTAAAGCCCTGTTTTAAGATCGTTTCTGATGAAATAGAACGGTTAAGATTGAAATTTGGACAAATGCTGCTGTCCCGAGAATTTTAGGTTTGTGTGTTAGCACCCTCCACCTACACAATGGTTGTCTATGTGCACTGGAACAATCATTCATAAAACACATTAAACTTTAGTTTACTAAGACGTGAAACTCACCGAGGGGTCTGGGGTGTTCGCTGATATGCTCACACAAAAATCACTGCAAAAGATGCTTTCCAACAGGTTTTATTGTAGTTTTTGCAAAAACAGTATTGCAGTAGACATACAATTTAAAAGAAAAGAAACACAACAAATTAAATGTATTTTGCTATTACATTATATCTTCATACAAAAATAAAAACTTTGGCCAGTTTTCCAATACATTTAATTTAAGTTTAAATTAAAACTGAAATAAAAAGCTTTTATATTTAGCTTTAAAGTGCTCTAGTCAGATCAAACAATCATGCTAAATGAAGAACTTAACCAGTCAACCTGGTACTTCATACTCTTGTGGTGCGCGCACAGTCTTCACTCGGACGCACTCTTCAATCTATCGCCGTTGTGGAAACTCTTTATTCTTTCCAATGAAATCACAAAATAAAATGCACACAAAGGTGACCCTGCTTGATATAGACCAGGTGTGCCCAACCCTGCTCCTGCCAATCGACTGTCCTACACAGTAGGCGTTTCTCAATACCAAGTACGCAGACTTCGGACTTGCGTCCTTGGTAGTTCAGACTTGCCAAGTTGCCAAGTCAGACTATGCAACGTGATTCTCTTCACTGCATATATTTATAACAAAATGAACATGATCTTTTTGTTCTCATTTTAAAAATATGAAACATTGATTTTTATTGACATTTATCAAACAGAGACAGGGTTATGCAATTTTATTTTATTGCTATAATGAAGATAATATAAAAAAAATGTTGTTAAAGTTAAATAGCCATAACGTTATGAAACCTCCAAAACTATGGAACAAACTATAGTTTAATTAGACCAAAGATAGACTTATACACAAGACGAATTCTAAGGTTTATCCATAGAGAGATCAGAGCCGACGGCAAACGTCAGAAGCACTAGCCGAGGATAAGCTGTTCCAGTCGGGGTTGATCTCGCTGAGTGTCCGCTGAAGGCTTGGATGTCAGAACTCCGAGTCTGAAAACGTCTGATGCATTTTTCAGATAGGCACTATCTTTATAAATAAACTACAGATTTCAGATTTAAACAACCACATTCTTGCCTGAAACACTCTTAAAATTACATTTCATGACTCAATAACAGTAGTATTTTGATATTTCGTGGATTTTCTCCTCTCCTATTGACGCTTGTTGGTTGGTGCGAGGTGCATTCTGGGTTACCTGGCTATCTCAAGTCCACACAAGTCACCTCTCGATGCATCCTCTGTAAACGGGGCGGATCAAGAACACATCCGGGGATTTGAAGTGGACTTGGCTAGATGCGAAAATTGTCAGTTGAGATATAAATGTCTCTAGTTATGTCTCATTTTGTCTTGGAAATTTGTCACTGTATAAAAAACACTATTGTTGAGAAAATTGTAGTTTTTAAAGGTAAATGTTAGTTTAACTCTTCGCTGTAGATGCTGTTTATGTAAAAAATAAGTGGAAAATTTCATTAATATTAGTATATAGAAAATGTATTGTATGTGTTCAATCTAATTCTGTGTTGTGACTTTATTGTAGGTTAAATAATTGTAACTTAACAGACAAAAGCTGTTCATCTCTGGCTGCAGTTCTTGGATCAGACACCAATCTGAAAGAGCTGAACATGAACAATAATAATCTGCAGGATTTAGGAGTGAAGCTGCTCTGCACTGGACTGAAGAATTTAAAGTGTAAATTGGAGATACTGAGGTAAGTTGAGCCACAGGAGTCACATGACTAGAGTGAGGGGCGATGACTGACAGGACGATGCCGGAGGCAAAAGCGCAAGATAACTTTTGTGAAAAAGATCTTTTATTTATCTGTTACAACGTGGGTATACCATATCAATCCTGTCATTGTGCTATTTTATTGTTGTTGTGTATAAAGGATTATTATGCTCTTAGGGCTAATTAATACCCGGTGGAAACCACCAAAGATTGTCAGATCATGCCCGTTTAGGAGGAGCCAGATGCACACACCACTCACAGACCACCAGGGCTGGATTAACCATTAGGGCAACTGGGCTCTTGCCTCAGGGGCCCATGACATCTAAGGGGTCCTGGGCACCAGGGGCGGAGTGGCAATCGGGAGAATCGGGAATTTCCCCTGTGGGCCGGTTGTGTTTCGAGGCCGTGAGGGCCGATCTGATCAAATTTATTTATTGCAAGTTGGCCATGCTCACTTGGGGCCCAAGCGAGGGGAAGAATTTTTTTTTTTTACTTTTTAGATAACGGAGCGTATATTTGCACTAAGTGCCTTTTTAGCAAAAGAAGCTTGTCACGAAATAGCTACGGTGGCGCAGGTCGTAGGGCTTGAAGCTTTTGATGCTCTCGACCCAAGTTCGAAACCGTCTTTAACTGAACTCTCTCTTCTCCCTTTTCCCAACACATATGAGATGTAAAATGTATACCCTAACATAAAGGTCTCTAGCGCTATATTTTGCCAACAAACTAAAATCGAAACCATGATATGGCTTTGTGCCTTTATAAAACAGCACAAGACTTTAAAGGGTTAGTTCACCCAAAAATGAAAATTAAGTCATTAATTACTCACCCCCATCCTGTACCAACCCTGTAAGAGCTTCGTTCATCTTCGGAACACAAATAAAGATATTTTTGATTAAATCTGAGAGCTGGATCAGTCCTACATAGACTGCCTAAGGGACTGGCTCTTGACGGCCCATAAAGTCATTAAAGTTTCAATTATAAGTTTATCAAGCGACGAGACTACTTTTTCTGTGAAAAAAACATGAATAACGACTTTATTCGACTATTCCATTACTTCCTTATGGGCACATGCACGAGAACTGAGATGAGGACGTTCTCCTTTGACTACTTCTTGTTACTGGCTGCTCACGCCCCCACCAGGGGAGAAAAACAATCCAACCGTCTCCATTGATTTGCATTGCGAGAGACTGCCTCCTTGTCATTTATGACTTATAACAAAAAACAAAACAATGTTTAAAAGCTGTTGTGAGACAAGGAGTACAGCAAACAAGCCAAATAATCCAGAAATTGTTTTTTTTAAGCTGATGGCTACTACTCTGAGCACGCCCATAATTCATAATTTAACCTGAATCTATTTTATCTGAAATTCTGTACGTTGATTTATTTTATTTTTTTGTATATGAATTTGTGAGCATTGAAAAATATTCATCGAAATTCAGGTTTTTAAAATGGAAATTTTCATAGGCCTATTTAAAGGTGCAGTGTGGGATTTTTAGCGACATCTAGCGGTTCGGTTGCGAGTTTGCACCAGGTTTGCACTAAGGGCTTAGCCCACTGCTCACCCCTCCCTTTCGAAGAAGCCATTGTTTCTGTACCACAGTCCAGTATAAACCACATCATGGATACAGTTTACAAAGCCATAGTCAGGTGAGGATCAAGGGTTTTAATATATAATTTAATATATTAATAGTGATCAGCTGATTGTCTCACAAACGTAACCAGCAGCACATTTCTCCCCACATAGCAAACCCATAATACAGCGAGGGAGAAGAACCACATGAAACTATGCAGCTATATATTTTTTCTAACAGGGTAGTAAAAGTTTAGCTGGCTAATATGAGCTGTTACTGTGGCTGAACTGGTTAAAGCATAAAGCCTTGTTTACACTCGACGCGTCCGCATGAGTCCAAAGGTGCGCACGGCAAAAATGACATGATTGTAACAGCGTGCGCATTTCCGCATCCCATAGACACCATAAACTACACACAATAGGCTTTTTCTCTGATTTTGAAAACTCTTCGCGATCGACTTAGATCTCTTACAAGATCGACGGGTTAGTGATTCCTGTAACATACTGTTTTACGATCAATGACATGAGTACTAATCAGCTGTCTTACGAACATAACAGCACATTTATCCCCACATAACAAACCCATAACACAGCGAGGGAGAACTAAGCTACACGAAACAATCCCAACTACATATTTTACACTACTCACAAGGGAAAAGTCACTACTCAGAGAGTTTATGGCTAGTTTCTAGCTTTCTGCTGCTTCTCTTTCAAGGCAGTGGCGAAACGCGTTCTGTAGCACTGTTTGTTCACGTTCGGCTACGGTAGAAAGATGACGTCACGATATGGCGACCTTCATAGAAGGGGATTCCCGCGGTTATGGAGATATAAATGTCTCTCTCTAAGGTAATAAAAACATTACGGTTTAAGTAAGTTCTTTATACACCACTGAAAACATAGTTATGGATGTCATATTGCATTTCTGTTACAGTTTTTCTCAATTGTTTACACACAAATTCTGGTACTTGAGACACAATGACCACAACATGTAACTCATTCGCCAACCCCCTGAACCAATTCTGATGAACTACAAGCACAATTCCTGCTTTACACTCAAATTGCAGCTCTAAAACACTTTTTTCAAAACACTACACACAAATTCTCTGCATTTGGCACAATTTTCATGCAGAAAATCTCTTCTTTTCACGAGGAACACACTCAAATATTCACACGTCAAACAGTTTTACAATTAGCAATCAGAGCTTTAGCATAAAATACCAAAACCGAAGAGAGGATGCAGCATAGATTTTTACTGTAACAGCATAAACATTTTTTTCTGTTGTTTTGTATGTAGACCACTGTATGTGCAACTTTGTGTTTATTGGGGTGTATGAAATGTGCGATCTATTTCCCATTGTTTTTGTGGGAAAAATACAGTAAAATATATTTGTTACCGTGTATTTCTGGGTATAAAACAATATTCTCAAATATTTTACAACACACTTATGTATGTAATGTCTGTAGTAAGTGTAACCCTGAACAAAAAAGGCCCAATTCATTATGATGAATGCAGAAGAAGTGTTTTACATTGATCATAGTGTTTTACATTGATCATAGTGTTTTACATTGAGCACATCAGTGTTCAACTAGTTCTTATAAATGTTTATTCATATAATGGTTTGTGTGTGTCATTTGAAAACAAAATAACATTTTGAGAAGATATAACATTGTTTTGAATGTAAAGTTTCATTTTGCACTAGAATTGAGGGGTTTTGCCGATTGTGTGTGTGTTTTTAGATTTGTGTGTAGAGTTCTGAGAGTATGAGGCATACTTGCAGGAAATGTGTGTAAACAATCGAGAAAAACTGTAATAGATACTCAACTTTTTGACATTGCACATTGCACCTTTAAATTTTTAGAGATAAATTCGAAACAAATAAATTCAGACAAATGTTTTTCAAAATAAAATTGAATACAAAACTATTATTCAAAACTAGTAAAAGTATTCAGTGGCTGTTAAATTTCAAATAGTTATGTCTCTCATTTGCTTCCATACTTTTACAATACTGTATGACAATCGCGGGATAAGATGTGTGTGTGTGTTTGTGTGCGTGTTTGTGTGTGTGTTTGTGTGTGTGTGTTAGTATGTGTGTGTGAGAGAGAGAGAGAGGAGAGTGTGTTAGTGTGTGAGAGAGAGAGAGAGGGAGAGTGTTTTTGACACTTAAAGCAATTTATTCCATCATTAAAGTTAAAAAAATAAATAAATTTAGTATTCCGTCATAGTGACTATAACAAACAATTCACTCTGTCTCAGTGTATTACAGTTGTTTTACTATCAATGCCAACGGCGAGAGAATTTAGTTTTGCTGTGGACAAATCACCTTACTTTGCACGGGGTACACTTGAGTAAAGGCTCGTGTGTTTTGTGTCTTAATCAATCTTTCCCACAGACATAAATTATAACTCGTACTCAACGCTCTGTCCATTTCAGCAAATGACGTTTTGTGAAGGCCTCTCCTGTTGCTTTGTTTCAACATGTGTGTGCACCCCCTGCTGGTAAAGCCATCTAACAGCAGATAGAGAGTATGCTCAGTAATCTATTGCTTTTCCTGCAGTTTCTGGATGTCACCGTTGAATTTACTGTCGAATTTGTTGAATATACACCTGTTGAATATTATAGGTTGTATTTTTAAACAGTTTGAAAATTTTGGAAGTGAAATATGAAAGGTGAATATGGATTATTGAATTTTTTAATAATGAAAAATATTTTTAATTGAAATATTCACAGCTTAAATATTCAACCATGTTCAATTTCAGCCCATAAAAATGTAAGCCTTAAAAATACATTGGATTAAAATGCAAGCAGGGTTAACACAATGCTTTTTTTTGAATTGGTGCAATTCAACATGCTTTTTGTTTCAAAAACATTAGACATTATTTTCAGTGTTGTATAAAGTAGAAGTAGAAAAAAAGTAGAAGTCCTGCCATGTGTTTATTCCTGCCATGAACTGATTGACAGTTGATTAGGGCTGATTTCTGTCTCCTGGCTGAAAAACTGCTAATAAGCAAATCCAGGTGATTGGAACAAAATACTGAGGCGGACTTTTACTTTCTGAACCTGGACTTTACTCCTCTGAAGAGAATAGAAAAGGAGATGACACAGTCTTAAATGAAATCACCTGAAGAGAAGACATTAAATCTGAAGATCTCAGCAGAGGAGGATTAAACAACTCCACAAACAGCAGCTTCACTTATTACTAACCAGACTGACTTTATTTCTGTCAGACTTCTACAGAAGATTTCATTGAGAATTAACAGAGGTTTACTCTGTGTTTCATTTGAAGTCACCATACCATCAGAATCTCTGAAGGAGAAAATCGTAATTGGTTACCGTTATGGAGATCAGTGTAGAGATCAGAGATCAGTCTTTAGTTGGGCTCTTGAGCTTTACATTAACTTTAGGTTTTGTTTGG